AAAAATTCAAAGCAGAAATAATCTCCCAGATATCTACAGAGATGGTGAGCAGAGTGAAAGACATGATTAGAAGATCTAGAACAGAAACAGATAAAAAGAAATTTGAACATGACCACACTTGTATGGTATGATCATTTATAATATTTCTGCTCACACATTGACACTTGAGGAATTTTATTATGTAAGTTAAATTACCTTCGATTTCTCCTGCAACTTTTGTACTCATCTTCAACTTGCTGATCATTACAGTTTCTTTCTAAGGTGAAGAAACACAAATGTAATGATGATTTGCTAGGTTACATAAAGATTAATAGATCCTAGTTAGATTCCTGGTACAATGTGACCATACCTCTAAGATTCATTAAAATGTTTCCACTTTCCAATAAAGGTAAGTGCACTGATAACACAACAAACAGTGCTCTCTGATTGTATAAATGAGACTGATTTATTTCTTACCTATAGCAGTCACATTCCTAAAGGTTTCCCACATCACATCTCTGTAGAGCTTCTTTTGGGATGGATCCAGCAAAGCCCACTCCTCCGCCGTGAAGTTCACAGCCACGTCCTCAAAGGTGACAGCCTCCTATATCATCACACATATATTTTCAAAAATGAGATTCACAACAACATGAACCATCTCAAGTCTACTCATACAAAGCTGAGAAGAGGCTGAGTCCTCCAAATGTTTACTTCATGTCTTGGTCAGCAATCACTTATTAACATTCGTATGCATGTCTCACACAGGAATTTTCATGCTAGGTTAGAATTTATTGATAAAGCTAAAGCAGAATGGAAACACTGATTCTCCTGCTGGTTAATCCTATCTCATTTCTACATTGTCTCTGAAGCATGGTTCATGCAAGGAGCCTACAAGATCAGCATCCAAATGAGAAGACTTCAGTAATTATGTAAGGAATTTCACTGACAGATCATAGAAAATATCTCTTTTAGCAACTCAATACTTAGCGAATTGATCCCTACCTTTTGTGATTGTATTTAGAGAACATTTTGAAATTTGAACCTGCTTTCATAGACAAAAACTTAAGTGAACACTAAGCAAAACTAATGAATATTACAGTTTTTATTGGATAATGTCTAAGAATGAAATTAGACTAAGGAAGATGCATTATCTTACAGCTCAAGGACATGAAATGGTCACCTGTGACAGATAAAGAATTTCTAATGTAGCTTATGGGAGACAAATTGGGAAATGAATAATGTGAGCAAAATATATGTAACAAAAACCAATTTTCAAAAAAAAAATTAAGAGTCACCAAAATTTTTTTTTAAGTTTAACAATAGTTTTTTCACATCCAAATCACACCTTTGGATTTTCAAAAATTTTTAACTATTTCATGTTTAAAATGTTTAATAATGTTCAATAAGTAGTATACAAGACAGTGACGCAGGCTGGCTATCAGGAATAGTGTATATTAGAATATCAGATGAAGACAAATACAATGATTAATTAGTAGAAATCCTATTTATGCTGCACAATCCCATTTTATCCTTGAGAGGGGTTTATTTTTAGTCCACATTGGTGAAAATATGGCATAGAAATCCAAGAAAGCATGCAAAGGAATGTTGTTCACATATTGAGAATTCAAGAGTATTAGGGCAGAACTCTCAATCATGTACTTAGCAAACATCTTGACAGAAGTAAGAAAGAAGCCTGGCTTCTCAGGTAACAAAGAACTTAAAGTGAGAATTCATTCCCAAAAGCACAGGTTTGACTAAGTTAATTCAGATCTAAAGTCCTGAATGCCTATGCTTTTGATCATATTGTCTGTAACTGGGACACAAATGCAATGAATGTTGAGGGTTAAATATTGTCACTATAAATCAAAGAGTGAATACACAGAATTCCACTTTCCAGCTCAGTTGGAAAAAACATAGATATAGAGAGACACAGGCCAAAGGCCTGATTGAAGCTGAGTGGAATAAAGAAGGGACCTTGGGCAACAACACTAAGTTTACAGCCAAATATGCAGGACAACTGTCAGCAAAATTTAGAGCAAGTTACTGTCCGAAATGTTTGCTTTGGCCAATGTGTTCACTCTGCCCCAATAAGATTATTTAAACTAGGTTGACAAGTGTTACATAACAAACCACCTCATTCAGTCCTGTGCCCTGACAAGAACTCATATACAATATGTGGCACAATGCTTTTCTTCTATGTCTTTGAATTACAAATAAAAAAAACTGTGGAGCTCTCAGTTGTAGCTATTTCTCTTAGGCCAAGAAGCAGCCCCTCTGAGTTCTCTGTGATTGATTTAAATGTTGTCTCAAAGGGATTTTAGTCATCTTCTGCACGAGCATGATTGCACACTTCAACACATAGAAAGAATGTTTCTTTCTCAATAACAAAGAGCAACCTAATTTAAATCAGCAACCCTTGAATATTAAATGGAAGAACAAGAAGGTAGACCTACAAAAGTGTAATTACTCTGAAGAAACTCAGAAACAAAGCGAGGGTAGGAATATGTTGGGTTTCCTGATAAACAAGGTCAAGAGGAATTTGAAAGATAGGAACTCCTGGGGGTAGGTTTTAGATACCCTAAAATTTTGAGTTGTACCTGCACCATTACTTGCCAAGATCTCAAACTGATAGGGTAAAATTGCTTCATGCTTCTGAAAGTGCAGAGGGGAGAACAAAATCATTTTGAAATTTTTGGTTTTAAAAATTAAGTTCTAAGTGGGAGAAACAGTATTAC